AGGGGGATTTCACAACAATGCAATGGAAGAGTCATTTTAGGTAACTTGTCTGATGTGACATTACTGTTGGATCCAATATAGCTGACAAAGCATCATCTTTTATTTTCAATCTTTCTGAAAATCCTGTGTCGAATTGTGCTTTGTTTGTAAACGAATCCGCAGTAAAATTAAGTGAACACAGGACCAAATTCTTACTGACGCGGTCTGCAACGTCATTAAAAATAAAGTTCATCCACTCTTTTCTAACGATGGGATCAGAAGGAAGGCAATGCAAAGACTGTTTCCACAACTTGGCACTGCACAGCGTCTTGTTGTCTTTGGAGCCCTTTTTATCGTTTGGTTTCTGTGTAAACCTGCATTTGCCATTCTCGTTATTTATACTGCATGCGCCAGTTGGTGGGTGGGCCTAAACAGGCAGTGATGTAGAAACAGGCGTTGATCATCTTCAGCTGAAGGGGTGTTTAACCACACTATTATGTCATCAAGTGACATATTCCACAAGCTGTCATTTTGGCAGACTGGCTTCAATATAAGCTGTTTATAGACTAGCGAGAAAGTTAATTAATTAGAGCATTGTAATTGAGCATTTTTTGCCATTATAGCTTATTATACAAAGCTAACAGCATGTACCTACACAGAAACGCAATTTATCGATGGAGAAATGATCCTCCTGCTGTCAGAAGCATATAGAACTAGCACATCTGAAGCCATTTGAACCATGACTAATCGACACAGACCCAGTGAATTGACTTGTCGTGCAACCCCTGATGCACAAAGAGCGAAAGTGACGATACGCTGCTGTGTGTGTGAGTGTGAAAGAGTGCATGCTGGTAATGCATGTTTTATCTTGTCAATTATTATATCATAGTTTGGTTTGCATCCAAGTACACTACTTCTGTACTAACTGTGTCTCCCCCCTGCAGGATAAGACCAGCGCGCTGAGTCTCAGTAACGTGGCTGGCGTGTTCTATATCCTGGTGGGGGGTCTGGGTCTGGCCATGACTGTGGCTCTGGTGGAGTTCTGCTATAAGTCGCACCAGGAGACCAAACGCCTCAAACTTGCCAAAAATGCCCAGAACTTCAAACCAGCTCCTCCGTCCACCGCGCAGAGTTTCACCACATACAGAGAGGGCTATAACGTCTACGGAACAGAGAGCATCAAAATATAATGGTTCGTTTTCTGTGTGTTTTAAATGTTTGTTAGTAATACCATTTCTAAAGAAAAGGGTATTAATGATGAGAGGTCTACTTCTGATGAGATCAGAGTTGGTGTTCAGTTCTGAGGTAAGTGAAGTTTCTCACTGTGTTAAAGCTGCTGTTTTTTTTTAGAATAACACTTATGAACTGTCCCTGCTATTTGACAGATATCACTAAAAGAGTTGTTCTGAGAAATCACACTTGTCTCTGTACCTGCCCTAGGCTTTGAAAACATAAAAGAAACAAGAATCTTGAGTGTGGCCCAGTAATGTTAGCCAAACAGCAGATTTGGGAATTGTTGCTTTTTAAAATGCCTCAAAAGTTTGAGGTTGGCAAGATTTTTTAAATGACGTCTCTTATACTAGCCATGGCTGCTTTTATTTGATCATAAATAGTCAAAACAGTGATATATTTTGAAATCAGTTTTAAATTTTTAAAATGACTGTTTTCTATTTGAACATGTTTTAGATGTAATTTACTCCTGTGATTGCAAAGTTGAATTTTCAGGAGCCATTACTTCAGTCATCACTGTCACATGATCCTTCAGAAATCATATTAATATGCAGACTTTCTGATTATCAGTGTTGAAAACTGTTGTTCTGCTTAATATTTTTGTGAATTTTTTCAGGATTCTTTTATGAATTTAAAGTTCAAAGGAACAGGATGTATTTGGTCTAAAAAAATGTTGTACTTACCTTAAACTTACAAATTATAGTGTATATAAAATAACATACTCGCTTATTTAAAAGAGTAACAATATACAACATAAATAACTAGACAGTAAGTAGTGACTATGTAACATGAGCTATTTGTAACCAGTAACAAAATCATAAAACTTGAATGCAATCATAAAACTTCAGGGCACCTGTCAAACTGTCAGGGATAGAGGTGGTCTCTAATTTAACACTAAGATGCAGTCACATTTACCGTTTGTTCTGCAAATTTTCAATAGGAATCCATGCGATCAGGAATGTGGCTTAAGGGTGAAATAATTCCTCACGCAGACTTTGCATCTGCTTTAAGTTGGTCAAGTGAAATTGCTTGAAAGTTACTTCCCCGTGAACTGTGTGTCATACACCACTACACTATTGACAGCAGACAATGGTTGCTGAAATTGTGCTAATTTGACCACGCTTTTAGTCAGGTGGAATTTACAGCAGCTTTACATTTTTTACCATGAATCAGGGAATCCATCTCTTCAGACTTTCTGCATTTAGATCAGCGCTTTGTTGATTTGCCTTTTGTCTGAGTGAATTATTCTGTTATTGTCAAAAGAGCATATCTGTCTGCAAGTCTCAAATGGGTCGGGCTGCTCTCTTTTCTTATTCTCAGATTGGAAGCCTGTCCCTTGCTGATCATGTGGTATGTGGCATGGGATAGACTCTCCTTCTCTTTGAGTCGACTGCGATTCCCTTTAGAAAGTGGACAAGCACCCAACCAAAACTCATCTCACCAGAACACTTGTCTTCTCGGCTCTGACCACAACCTGAACCAATAATCACGCGACAGACTATCGGATGGACCAAACAGCCAGCCAGCCAGCCAGCCAGCCACCCGATCGCCCTCTCTCAGTGCCTTACTGAACCAGTGGCAAAACATCAAATCATGCAGACATCTCACCAAAGTCCTGGAGATGTCCTGCTGGGTGCTGGGTATAAACCATATTTCAATTTATTCTTATTTTGAGAGGGAAAGACGGAAAAGGAGGGAGAGAGAGATAGACACACAGTGATAAGAGGTTTGATTTGGTTGGTCTCATGATCAGCACTGACGGTGTTTAATGAGTGACAGCCAGCTTGTCTCTATGACAACTCTCACTAGTGTGTGCAGACAAACATTTTATGCAAATTGTATGACATTTTTGAAGGATTCTGCTTATTCATTTAAAGTTTGTGCTGTGATTCTGTGTCCTCATTAACATAATTGTTATGAATAATGTAAATAATAATTTCAGATACATTATGGCATCAGAGAAATAATGTCAATATTGGTTCCCTTTCACAATTTGCATTTTATTTAGAGTTCTAATCATAGCGTATTTACTGTAGTGGGAGGGAATTCAGTCAGTCTCTGTGTGTGAGCGAGAGAGAGAGAGAATATTTCTCTCTGTTCTGTACTATAAACCTATAAAGAGTTTAAGATTCTGAATTTATTTGCCAGAATACTTTATTATGAAACATAGGAAATAAATAGTGACAGCACATTCATATAACACCAGCAACAACAACAAAAAAATCATAATCAGTTTTCTGTTTAGATCAGTTCTTTTTAAGGTCAGGCTTAGGAAACAACAAAATAATTAATAGTTTGTAATTACGTTTTTGTTTTAAAATACTTTAATAAACCGTGATTGTCACCTAGATCAAATATGAACTGTTAAACTGATGGAAAAAAGAGAGAAAACCGATCTTTGATTTTATAAATGCCGATAAAGTCGCTTTAAATTCTTGACATTTGTTTAGATGGTAAAATGCATATTTATTTTGAAGATTTTCTAAAACTGACTTCTGTTTGATTTTCTAAGTGAACTGAGCATGTACAGTAAGGATGAAAACAGCCTTTCCCTCAATAAAGCTTCTGCTCCCCCTCTCCTCCTCCATGCACTGTTACTAATAAAAAAAAGAGAATAGAAAATTATGAAATGGTCAAGATACATCCTGAGGAAAGCAATGATCTGTTCCTTTGCATGACTGCGTCCAGCTCTTAAACATTTAAGTATATTTTGTAAATAAAGACAGATTTAAGACAAATTTCTACTGACTAATGTGTCATTTCATCTGAATTTGTACACCAGTATAATTCTCATCTCAAACGTTCTCATTTGTCATTGACGCTTACATTTTTCTGCTAATTTCCGTGTAGGATTGCCTTACTTCTAGTTGTCTGTACAGATTAGTTTGGTAGAAGGTATTTTAACGTCGAAAAACACCTTAAATCATCTTAATTTTGTCATCTTTTATCACGTCTGACAGCTACACAGCTGACTGGCATGTTCCACTAAACTACCAAAAGACCATGAGATCATGTCAAAAGCTCTGAATGAAGGAATGATCATATTTATATTAACTCGCTCACGAATAACCCTCATCACAAATGCAATACAAGCCACCTGCTGAGCAAATAAGCGTCTGCTGTGCATGTAAATGTTGTACATGCAGCATAGCAGCAGCTGACAGTTAAACAGGTTTGCGTAGAAAGAGATTGATGATAAAGTGCTTCACTGCAACTGTTTTCAGAGCTTCTTAACCAGTGCTGCTTAATTCCTAAAGGCTTATCATTAGTGTGGCTGCTCACCAGAGGGTTGCTGTTTCTATGCATAGAATCATTATTGGTCCCTTGAGACCTTCAGAAGGACTGTGTCTGTAGTACAAGTGTAGATTATAGGGTGTTTGTTTGGACTGTATAAAAACAACACGTGCACAAACGTTGAAAGGACAGCCAGTGTCTGGCTTGATGCTCATTGCAGCAGTTATGCAAACTGTCCATAGGATTTTATTCAGATAATAAATGGTGATGCACCCACCACACCCCTCCAATGCCACAACGCGCTCATTTCCCCATGACTCAGTCGTGTTTTCATTTATACGCTGCCTGTCTGGTTTGGATGAGACGAGCTTTTGCTGTCTATATCCGCCTTGTTTACTTATTTATTTTGTTTTGCTGCCGGTTTGTGAGCTCGTTCGTGTCCCTCCGGTTGCCTGGCAACGCGCGTGGCAGTGGGCGCTCCTGACCTTGCGTCCGCGACCACGCAGAGCGCGCGCGCTTAAAATAGACCCGGGGAGATTGGCGTTAATTGAAAATAAGAAAAACGCAAGAAGAGCCGAGCACCGTTCACGCGGCTCGACTGGGAAAAAGTGGGCATGTTGGATGGTGGGAACGATGAGATATGAGATTATTACAGCGCGAGCTCGGATGCGAATCTGCAGGTGAGCCCAAAATCTTCTTATTTATGGCTGATCTGATGCGTGCTGTCGCTTCTCAATATCAGGCAGCGGCGGGAACGAACAATCCCGAGTAATAAGAGCAATTTTCCGATGCTGGTGAATAAAAAAAAATGTGGGTAGTTATGAAAAAAGCGTAAATTGGATCGTGTATGAGCGGATGTGGAACGCGTTCTGATTGAACAATGAACGCTGGTCTAATGAATGCGCCGCATTGCTTGTATACGGGAAATAGATACGATAAAAGGACGAGGTTTTGAAAGGGAAATATTTATCATTTCCTTTTATTTGATTTCATTTTAACGCCGTTTTCGTTCTCTCGTCTGCAGCGTGAAAACTCGCAGTCGTAAGAGGGTGAGCAGAGAGAGAGGAAGAGAATTATCATTCGAATAACCTCAAAGCCATGGTTTGCTGCTGCTGCATCTGGGCTGTGGTGGGATCTCGTTAATCATAGTCATTAGATGGCCGTACACAGTCGGCTTTGTAATTCTACTCTATGCCAGACTCGAATCAAATTATTCGCATCTGTTTGAAAACACCTCAAGCTGTTCCAGCACCGTTGTTTAGCGGGTCTACAGGCCCGTCTGCGAGAGGGACACTCGGGGGTCGAGTCGTTCTCCGCGTGCTCAATACACGCTGATATATTAATCACGCGCGCGCGAATTAAAGCTGCAGTTCGTCACCTGTTGGAAAGGTAACGGCAGCGCGAGACCGAAGCGAGACCCGTACCCGGGTCCAAGTTGTCATGGTGATTTTACCGATCTTTTGGCTCGGTTAGTGAGTGAGTGCGCGTATCCAAAGGCGCTATGTTACACGTTTACGATGCAAAACACTGGTATTAGGCGTTTCGAGGGAAGGGTCGTGACACACTGGGTACATTTTCAAGAGCTATTTGTTATCGTATGCGAAGAGAATATTGAGCGTCGCAAGTGTTTTCGTAATGAAATGCCCCCGCATAGTTTATTATCTGCGCGCCATCCCGCCACTGCACCGTTCAGTCGGAGCTACGGAGGAGGAGGAGGAGGAGGAGGAGGAGGGACAAGACTATTGGTATTCATCTCTCGTATGGTAGTCTCTTTCACCGTCCCTGCCGTGAGTCCGGGGAACACACACGCATACACATGCTCACCCCGTTCCTAGTGAATGCAGAAAAGAAGCGGTAGCCTGTACAGTGTATAACAGTTTAACATAAATAGAGGCGAATTCGCCAATTCAATAAAAGCTGACTTTTCTCGCATAGATATGTGGGATAAATATCAGGGACCCCAATCTTGAAACGCATCACTAGCCTGTACGGCTGACCTGATTCAGGCGCGCTGGGAAATGGGCACTGGAATAAACGGAGTCCCAGTATTCTCTCGATGGGCCTGCACGGTTCAGATTAACTGACCCACATTAGAGGGATGGAGGAACCCAATGCAAAAAATCAATTACAGGAATGCAGGAGAAGGTTTGTTTGTATATGGTGATATTCTTCAGGTCGCGGTTCTCTTCAGCACCACGGACAGCGACAAGAGTGAACACACAGTAAAAGATCCGTAAAATAACTGAAGGGCTGGTCCATGCTATAGGCCTACTACATGTCACGCCATAATATATGTATTAATATATCGGATGACTTAATTTGTTTAGCATTGTTAAAGATGGAAATATAGGCTTATTTCTACGCACTCAGAATCAGCATGTTAAAATTGTTCTTGTTATTATGTAATTAATTAGTCAAGTTGAAATCTTTGGTTTTAATGCCTAAGCTTGACCAGCGTTTATTTCTGAAGGTCTGGTGTACCTTAATTCAAAAGACTTTCCAGAGTTCAAAACGTATTGCATAATGGGATGACATCTGCATGGCAGCTGGCTTTGGTAAGGTTTTGTTCAGTTAGTTTCTATGCCATTTTGCATGGGATTTTTTTATTTTGTGTTTTTGTATTGTTTGCCGTTCTAGAGATGAATTTACAGGAAATGCAATCACATAAAATAGGTCATATAAGCTAGCACCTGCTCAACACTCCAGCGTTATACAGCACTGTGTACGAAAGTCGTTTCAAACCTCTGAGAGTGCCAGGCAGTAGATATCAAGGATTTTAGGTTCTGTGCTTGAAGTTGTTAATGATTTTGCATTGCATAGGGCTTTGAAGCATTTAATGCATTTGTTTTAAGAACACTGTATTTAATGTTCCTGGAATGTAATTTGTAGGGTTTAATATATATATATATATATATATCTTGAATATTTTGATCTTTTTTTTTTATGTCTCCGACATAAAATATCTGATACAGAATTCTTTAAATCTTGATTGGATAATTTAATTTGTTTACATCTCAGGCTGTTAATGGTTGCAATTTTGTTTGTTTTTTACCCAGAAAATGTGTGTTTCTGTCAAAGCCTTTGGAAGGCTTACAGATTTAGTATTTGCATGTTCTGTAAACAGTGCTTCAGGGGCAGTGAGTTAGAAAAAAGGGGATTATTGAGCCTGATGTCACAAAGTTTTTCTTTAAAAATGTTACGGCTTAAGTATCAGCAGAACAGAACGATACATTTAGTGATAAAATGTTGGCACTTTTCACAGATTACATGTTGGTAATGATTAATAATAATTAATGAAATGAACACTGTGGCCATGTTTCATATATGGTACATCTTTCATTTAACTTCTGAATTAGTGGCCTATGAAATACTGTGCATAAAATGCTCCATGTTTCTTCATACATGACTTCACACCAATGCAACATGTCTTCAGCTAGCAAATTTAAAGTTTCAATCTGAGACACACGGTAACTGCCCTGGATAAAGAGAATGCACAATTATGCAATGCACAATTCTGTTTTATCTTAACCGTCAGATTTGTTGTTACATATAGATTTCATATAATTTTTATTTCAGAATTTGAGCCCTCTAAATGATACAGTGGTGTATCAGTTTAGACTGTCAGACCTCCAGGTCTGATCTTTGGCCAGTTTTTAAAAAAAAGGATATAGATGTGAACTCTTGTTTTGTGGTTGGTCCTCATCACTGCAGTGCAGGTTAATGAATGCTGTGGGTTTCAGCCCATCGGCTCTACATGCTGCCATCCCACAGCGTCATGCACGCACATTGATTTCAGATAAAGCAACTGCTCTGCGTGTTTGTGGCTGAAGCGCTGAATATTGATCCACTCGCACAACATGCATTCTGAACACAAGCACTGCACTATTTGACTTAAGCTCCTCCCCTCAGAAGACATGAGATCCACCTGCTGTCCATGTCTGATCTCTCATGAGACTGAACCCACAGAGCTAGAGCTGTGCAAGGGTGCAGGGTTAAAGAGACTCTACTTGTCACTTAGTGCATGTGTGAATGAGATATGAACCGCAAACTGTGTGTGTGTGAGTGTCCCTGCTTGCTTCCTCTCCCACATGAGTTCATGTACACACTACTGTTCAAAAGTTTGGAGTTGATATCATTTTTGTCTCTTATGTTTCATCAAAAATACAGTAAAACATGTAATATTTTTATCTTATTAACATGTAATACAAACACGTAATGTAACATCTTATTTTTTTATCTTAATATTATTTAAAGTTAAAATAACTGTTTTATATCTTAATATAGTTTAAAATGCATTTATGTGATGCAAAGCTGAATTTTCAGCATAATTACTCCAGTAACAGTGTCACACGATCCTTCAGAAATCATTCTAATATGCTTATTTGGTGCTTGAAAAACATTTCTTATTGTTATCAATGTTAAAAACAGGCTTGCTGTTTAATATTTTTGTGCAAAAATCTTTTATTTCAATATTTTTCAGGACGATGAATTGAAAGTTCAAAAGAACAGCATTTATTTGAAATAGAAATTGTTTGTCTCATAAATGTTACAAAAATATGCTGTAAAAATGTATTTTTACAGAATTTGCCATTCTTTACGTTTTTTATATTTTTGGAACCAATACAAGGTACATTTTTATAGATACTCTATGTGGAGTCAGTTTCCCTCACATTCACGCAGCTGTCGTTTATCATAACTATGATTATGTTCCTCAACTCAATCTCATGCAAACATTTACAAGGTGGCCATTTTGAATTTGTACAATATGAAAGCATATGTTTTTTTGTTTGTTTGTTTGTTTCTGAAGCATGAAGGTCGAATTAGCCACCGATTTGACAAAGAGTAAAATAGTTACAAATTGCCATGAGAATGTGTTGGTTCCACTGATGTTTGACAACCAGAAATCCTAAATACATTTTGAACAGGATACCTATTGTTTTATAATGTTTGTTTTGTTTACATGGTTTTGCATTATAAAGTTAATTTCAACTTCTTTTTATGCTTAAAAAAGGTCTGCTTGCGTTGCCTTTCCTTAAAATAAATGCCACTTGGATTGATATTCATTTATCTAATGCTATGCCATTCATGCATTTTAAGTTTGACATTAGGTGTCTCTTTTTGGGGCCACTGTATGATTTGTTTTCTGAGGGATTATTAATATGGTTCATATTCTGACCAAAATGTGTACATGTCTGGTGTTGAGAGGTTCTGGCTCTTACATCGTGTTTGTGTGTATTTCAGGTTTGTGCTGAAAGGATCTGCATGCTGGAAAAATGAACAGCTTCACCTGCTGAAATCATCAACCGATATGGAGCACTTGGTGGTGCACACCTGGCTGTGGAGATGCCCACTGGATCTGCCTGAGTGTGTGGTGCGTGTTTGTTTTTGAGCGCTAGAGAGTGATTGCGTCAAAACAGAGAGTGCCATTGAGCTACAGACAGAGATTTATCAGTGTGAACGTGTGTGCTGTTAAGAGGGACCATGTGGCACGCACAGTCAGCAACTTATCTGCCGCTTACCCACCTGCTCTGCCGACCTCTGAACTTTGCACTGTGTTGGCTTCTTGTTTGGTTGATGTGGTCAGTTTCCATGGCAACAGCACTGACCTACCAGCCCACAGTAAACACAGCACTTGGCAGACTAAGGGGGATGCGGGTGGCTGTGGCTACGGAGGGTCTGGGCCCTGTGGATCAGTACCTGGGTGTGCCTTACGCTGCCCCACCTTTAGGAGAGAAGCGCTTTATGCCGCCCGACGCTCCATCGGCCTGGTCCGGCGTACGGAACGCCACCCGCTTCTCTCCCGTCTGCCCGCAGACCATTCGCAACGCAGTGCCCGACATCATGATGCCTGTCTGGGCCACCTACAACCTTGACACGGTCGCTACCTACCTGCAGGAGCAGAGTGAGGACTGCCTATACCTTAATATATACATACCCACACAAAGCGGTGAGTACACATGCAAAATGCACACATACACATTCCTTCATTCGTATACAGAACACCACTGGTTTTGGTTCTTGGTTACTCCAATGGTTTCTTACTGTAAATATGCTAAGGTTTTTTTTACTCACCACTTGAGGGTTTGTAAGGAACTATTTTTTTATATTTTAATAATACTTTAATTGTTTTTAGAATATTCAGTTTGTTTATTGCAATATTCCTTCGAGGCAATCTGTTCATTCAGACTGAACAGATCACCAATTCAATTGCTATGTTGTATTTTTAGATCTTTTTATTGCAGAATATTTATTTAAAAGCTGTCAAAGCTGTTATATAAGTTAGGATAGCTTTTTGTTGTTTTTGGTGTAGATTTCTTTTAAATATCCTCTTGCTTATGTAAAAGAAAAATCCAACAATGTTTTGTTAGTTACTCTTGTTAGTAACTGGGGTAACGCTACAATAAGGTCTCATTTGTTATGCATAACAAATGCATAAACTAATATGAACTATCAATGCTCAACATATTCTTACAGCATTTAACATTTGTTAATTGTGTTCATGTTAGTACACAGTGCACAATTTAAAACAATAATATTTTCCTGTGACAGCAATATTCAGACTGAACAGATCACCAATTCAATTGCTATGTTGTATTTTAGATCTTTTTATTGCAGAATATTTATTTAAAAGCTGTCAAACCTGTTATATAAGTTAGGATAGCTTTGTGTTGTTTTTAGTGTAGATTTAAATATCCTCTTGCTTATGTAAAAGAAAAATCCAACAATGTTTTGTTAGTTACTCTTGTTAGTAACTGGGGTAACGCTACAATAAGGTCTCATTTGTTATGCATAACAAATGCATAAACTAACATGAACTATCAATGCTCAACATATTCTTACAGCATTTAACATTTGTTAATTGTGTTCATGTTAGTACACAAAGGGATTCTCGAGATGACCCACGTCCTGTGATGCTGTTTATTCATGGTGGCTCGTACATGGAGGGCACGGGGAACATTATGGACGGTAGTGTGCTGGCCAGCTACGGCAATGTCATCGTCATAACCCTCAACTACAGGGTGGGGATATTAGGTACGTACCATAAGGGAAAGGGTTTTCCTACAATGAAATTTGGTTTATCAAGCTTAAATATAAGAGATTTATGAATATTAACAAGTACAGCATTTTTCTGTTTTGGAGGAAAGATCAACGTGCAAGGAAAGATACTGTGACTCCAAATGCAACATGTCAGCCATTATAAAAGCAACCAAGTCTTTAGAAGACCTCAATAATGTTTTATAAATGCTTTGGGGAGCAGATCTGACCATTACAGCCACATTCAGAGAGAGTGCTGTTTGTGTGCTGCTTTTCTAAAGAGCTCTGATTCTGTTTAATCTCAGTGACTACAGCATCAAAACAACGCAGCGTTCCTACTCAGACAAAATCACCTACGATGAAAGAGAGAGGAATTGAGGAATGCTTCCATCTTTAGGAGATGAAGAAGCTCTGAAAAATACTCTGATAAAACAGCAAAGCTGAACCCTATAAAACAACAATCATCTCTGATAGAGAACAAGCTGCATTACCTTGTGTTTACCATCACTGATGGCTTGTCAGTTGCAAAATAACCACTGAATGAAATAAATGTACTGTATGTCTGAAGAACTAAAACTGGTTTTCCCAGTGCCTGACTTTACTACAGTTAGATAAACTCGTCGTCAAAGCTTTTTTTGTACCTGTTGCACAAATATGTCCCAAATTTTACAGGGTCTAGTTTTGACTTGTTAGCATGGCCCAGCTAGCCCCTGCTAGTACATGTCAAACCTTCACAGAGCCCATCGGCCCTATACACTTAACACGCAAGTTGCGTAGGCCCCCGCAAATCATGCAAGGCCCCGCCACCCCCCTCCCCCATAGAAGAGGAGCAAGATAAACAGCACTGCATGTTTGCTGCGTAAAAATTTGGTCGGATTTCCACATTCATCTGAACAAAATCAGCAGACGGGCTGAATAAAAGTGCAAGTTTATTATCTGACAGCAGGTTGCGCTAATAGAACAGCAGAAATACAGCAGTTAACATGGTTACACCCAGAGCCGATCTGCCCTATATGCGCACTACATACTGTAACTGAACAACTCCCACTTTCATTTGATATAAATCCCCTTGCAGCTACAGTATTTTCCTGAGATTTCCAGCCATTTTCATGAAGTTGTGAGGCCATATTTACTTCAGGTTCAACGATTTGTTATGCATCATTACAAAAAAAAATGATGCCCTCAATCTCATGAGTGGTTCTGTTTCTTTGAACTGCAGTAAATTCTTCCTATTTTCAGCTGCCAAAAACAGAGATGTTCTTGAAAGTTTCACTCTCAAGATCATTGATGAGTAGTCAGAACCATTTTGTCAAATCTTTCTGTCCTGTGTTTCTCTCAGGGTTTTTAAGCACCGGTGACCAGGCCGCTAAAGGGAATTATGGTCTCTTGGATCAAATTCAAGCTCTCCGCTGGATCAACAAGAATATTGGATATTTCGGCGGTGATCCGGGCCGCGTGACCGTGTTTGGCTCAGGAATCGGAGCATCCTGCGTCAGTTTGCTCACTCTTTCACACCATTCTGAAGGTTAGAGATCACACACCTCAAATAATATTAATGTTTAATTCACCATATAAACATATGATGTCACAGATGCAGTGATGTTCTCTTCAGTGCAGTTCCGAGCATTTATATTCAGATCATGAAATGTGTTGAAACAGAGGGACGTGACAGCGAGTGCACTTTGATATAAAAACCGTACTGAAAATATTAATTATGCATACATAATGAATGAATTGTTTGGAAATAAAATGTAAAAAAATGTCCTGCTCGCTGGTAATTAAGTAATTTTCTATAATTACACATTTAATTATACCCTATGTAACGCCTTATGGTAGTCAATTAAAGGTGTGTCTCTGTACAGTGTATTTTTGCAGTCCGTAACTGCTGAGACAGCTGCCTCTGCAACTATGACCACTGTCACATCCCAGTTTCCGTTACCACGGTAATCTCTGCTGTAACCATGGTAACTCATCTCTTGCCTCATCAGTCTTATCCCTCTGTTGTGGGCCTCGAGTGTGTAGGTGTGTCTGTCACTGCAAGGCGTGTGTGCAAAGTGTGTTTCAAAGAGATCAGAGCCAATCACACACACCTGCAGGGATATTGATCCAACATCATCGTTTTGTTTCACCGTACAGTATTGATAACATCTCTTTCCCTTTGTCTCACTGTTTTGTGTTTCTCCCTCTTTATGTCCGTTTTTAAAATTTGCAGCTGCTTCCTCTATTTCATAGCCATATGGTAGTTTTATGATCAGATGATCCATTTTATCCATGCATTTGCTGGTACATATATTTTAGAAAACTGTGATTTTGTGCATGTCATATAATTTTATAGCTCTTTCTAGCCGAATGCATTTACACCCAGAATAAAACCCAGGTGCACTTATTTAAATAGTAAGATTCTAGGTGGTTGTGTATTGTACCACCACCACAACTGCTATCCATTTCCCAGAAAACCTGTTTCTTATGGAAAACCATAGCTCTGGTTTTGTCCAAATTGACTGTCACTATCCATTTTTGCAATTACCGCTTCAGCAGTGAGCATCTTCACCACATTCCTTTTTTGTGTGGACCGCAGAACCAGGTCATCCCCATTGAGCAGACATTTGATTTCAGTGTGTATAGAGTGAGGTCAGGGGTGGCGGACTGCACCGCCACTGTTGTTGTATCATTTATGTAGATGTTCAAAATGATTGGACTCAAGCTACATCCTCTTCCTCGAGCCTCAGAGTTCTCTTTCCCCTCCTCATCTTTTTAGCTGTGCTTTCTGAGATACACTGATACTAAGTCATTAGAATTTAAGCTCTCTTAAAATTATTCTCACTGTTTCAGGCAGAGTGAAATATACAGTATGACTTGAAACAATTAAAAATCAATTTTACTGTTCTCTAGAAAAGCTCTTCTGCAGACAAGGATAAATCTGCATATTGATGTGGATTCTGTTTCATTCTGTACGATGGAACATTGGACTGAATAAAACAATATTTTCTACATGACAGCAATAGAGGAAATTCAGTTTCAAATGTGCAAAGATTACACATTAGGCACTAAATGTATTTTTTTGAACATATATATATATATATATATATATATATATATATATATATCATATTTGGGTCATTGGCAAAAAAAAGATGAAAATCCCTGATCTAGGACTTTTTGTATTTAGTTTGATAATAGCTGATAATAATAGAGTTTCCCCCCTGAAATTCATGAAAAATTCATCTCCCATCTGGTGGGTGGTGGGCATGTTTTACACCCAGTAGGGCATCCCAGTAGGATGTAGCTGTTGAAGTTGTTTCTCCACTGTTTCCTTGTAGAGTCATTTGCATGAGTCAGAGACGCATGTGCTGGTTATGGAAGGGTTGTCTTGGCGGAAATGATATGGTAGAACTGAAATGCTTTAAAGGGCACCTGTTATGCCCCTTATTACAAGATGTAATAAGTCTCAGGTGTCACCAGAATGTGTCTGTGAATTTCAGCTCAAAATACCCCACAGATCATTTATTATATCATTTTAAAAATGCCTATTTTGAGTGAAGCAGAAACACGTTGTTTTTGTGCATGTCTCTTTAAATGTAAATGAGCTGCTGCTCCCCGCCCCCTTTTCAAGAATAGGGCTGCATTTGCAGCTGGTACCTCTGATACTCTGCTAAATACATGTGTTTGGTTTTGATTATCATGTCTGTCATGCTGAAATCATGCATTTTAAACCATATCAGTTTAAACTTGATACACGCTTTTCTGAGTGCACACATCCGAAGCACGCGCACAGAAAGTGGCTGTCACACGGCATGTGAGTACTAAACTAAGTTCTCTTTCCTGTCTTACTGCGCTTAAACTGTCAAATACACAGGTTTATGTTAAAAACACACATAAGTTACAAAAGCACAGTCGGTTATGTCTGTTTAGGCAACAGCCAGAATGAAATCACGTTTATATTAGTTCTGTGTATTAAGTGACAGCAGCGTAATATACAGTACCTATACTGTTGTCTGTGCTGTTAATATGACCCAAACAATAAAATAAAAACAGAAAATCACTCACTGCTCTGGACTGAATAACTTCAATAGCTTTAATAAGACATTTCTTACTTGAATGCTGCTTTTAAATGCTGTAAAAGTGAATTTTGCCTAATAGGTGCCCTTTAATCCCATGATCAAGGTTGGTGGAACTTGTTTACACGACTTTCATACAATACCACCATAGAGTCATGACATGAGTTCATTACAGCAACAGTCCTGCTGGAGCAATCTGTGTGTAGAAGTGTCTTGCTCAAGGCCACAATGGTGATGACTCATGATCCGTGCTTTGCGGAGAACATCTGATGATATTGGTGGTCATGATATTGTATTCTAGGCCTATCAAGTTTGGGATTAGTGTCTCTGTAGACATCGTCGCTGTCAGATATCTGTATTCAATGCCTCAGGGGTGATAGTTGAATGTGAAGTATTAAATGATAAAAAAAATGCTCAGCACCGACCAGATGGGAGTTGAATATCGTGGGATGAAGCTCAAGCCCACTGATCTTATATTATCAAACTGAATACAAAACTGTTAATTGAATATAGAGTTTTTCTTAGACAAAATTAATTAGTAGCCACAATGGATATAGCTGGAGCATTTCTTTGCATAAAAGCAAAGAGGACATCAAGTGCCCCCTTAATAAAAGAAAAAAAAAATTTCATTTCTAACATTGAACCTAACAGATTATTCCTCAGATGTAAAAAGAAATGATCTGTCCAACATGTGCCACTATCTTAAAAACATCTAATTTAAAAATGGATGAGAAATATATAATGATTTGGCTGAAGGTTGTGAGGGTCACATAGAGAAGACATTAGTGAGTCTCTTAGAAAGCCCAGGATGTGGATGGACCCTTCTTTCATGACAGGTGAAGATACTGCAACTCTGCCCTTTGAGGATACAATACTAATATAATTGCTGATCTGGAATATTGGCATGACATTTACTGTTTTATTTTCTTCTGACATTCTGTGTTCCCTCTCTAGGTTTGTTTCACAGAGCAATCATTCAGAGTGGCTCAGCACTGTCCAGTTGGTCAGTGAACTATCAGCCTGTGAAATACACACGTCTCCTTGCGGAGCGCGTTGGCTGTAATGTCCTTGACACCCAAGTAAGATGTTTCTTGGAATTTTATGAGTATTGTGAGTTATTATAAAGAAACAATGCAGTTGTGGGTATTTTGTGTATAACCTTGTCAAATAAGATGCACATAAAAGCCATAACACACCATACAGTTGCTTTGACACTAGACTATACAGAGTATGTGAAATTTCTTCGGACATTGCAACAAACAGGATCACAAATTACAAAAAATAAATACACTTAAAATGAGAAAATACTGTTCAGAATTTTTTTGAAATTTCAGTTTCAAAATTTCTGTTCAGTTTTTGAAAGAAGTCTCTTATGCTCACCTTTATTTGATCAAACATAAGTAAACCGTAATCTTGTGTCATATTACATTTTAAAATAAGTGTTTTCTATTTTAATATATTTTAAAATGTAATTTATTCCTATGATAAACCATTTTTTCAATCAGGATTCTTTGATGAAATTAAAGATCAAAAGAAACACTTAAAATAATATTTTGTAACATTATAAATGTCTTCACTGTCACTTTTGATAAATATAATGTATCCTTGCTAAATAAAAGCATTCGTTTATTTTTAAAAAAATCAATCTTTGACATTTAAATCTTTGATTGGTCAAATTTCCTTGCAGGTCAGAGACACAAAACTTTCGTATGAAGCAGAATGCATAAGTTCTCTGCATGTGCCTGTGTTTCTCTTCTCCTGTGTTTGCAAAGATATAAATGGAAGTATATAAATTGAACACAAAGTCATGAACACAAATTTAGTAGTACTAGAGCAGGTATATTTTTAATTTCTCACACCCGCTTAGGATAAGGTTAAAGGGTTAGTTCACCCAAAACTGAAAATTAGCCCATAAATGACTCACCCTCAAGTCATCCTAGGTGTATATGACTTTCTTCTTTCAGACGAATCCAGTCGGAGTTATATTAAAAATTGTCTTTGATCTTTCAAGCTGTTTCATGGCACTCAGCTGGTGTTGCATGCATCAGTCCAAAAGAAGTTAAATAAAAAGCGCCCATCCATAAAAAAAGTGTCTCACACGCTCCAGGGGGTGAACAAAGGCCTCCTGTAGTGAATCGATGCATTTTTGTAAGAAAAATATCCATATTCAAAACGTAATAATCACTTTAGCTTGCGCCAACAGTTGTACACGGAAGCAGCTCCGGGCGGATGACGTATGAGGTCGGCTTTGCGGAAGCACAGGGGAGAGATCAAAACAAAACACCGGTCACTTATTAGAAGTACAAAACGAGGATTTGTAAAAAAGAATGTCGGAGGATTTCGATATAACCCAAGAGGAGACTGGTTTTCCTTTGCTAAAGTAAGGAAACTTTGCTTCCTTTGCTCCTGTTAACAAACGTTGGTTTTCATGAGACTCACCGGCGCATGCGCAACGCCGACATCTTTTACGTCATCCTCCCGGAGCTGCTTCCGTGTACAACTGTTGGCGCAAGCTACATTAAAGTGATTATTACGTTTTGAATATGGATATTTCTCTTACAAAAACGCATTGATTCTCTACGGGAGGCCTTTGTTCACCCTCCAGAGCATGTGAGACACTTTTTTTTATGGATGTGCGTTTTTTATTTAACTTGTTTTGGACTGAAGCAATGCAACACCCGCTGAGTGCCATGAATCAGCTTGAAATATCAAAGACAATTTTTAACATAACTCCAACTGGATTCGTCTGAAAGAAGAAGGTCATATACACCTAGGATGACTTGAGGATGAGTAATTTATGGGCTGATTTTAATTTTGGGGTGAACTAACCCTTTAAGGCATTGTTTTTGGTTCCCAGTGTTTTGGTTAATAAAACATATTTTATTATTTAATTCAATTTTAGTGTCTACCTATTTATGACTAGCAGTTTTTACCAGTGTAGGCATGGAGGCAGATGTAACATGTAACATGGTTGCATGTGTGTGTGTTTTATGCAGGATCTGGTCCTCTGCATGCAGAAGCGTAGCTACAGGGAGCTGGTGGAGCAGGAAATTCAGCCAGCACGCTTCCATGTGGCCTTTGGCCCTGTCATTGATGGTGACCTCATCCCAGATGACCCTGAAGTGCTCATGGAGCAGGGCGAGTTCCTTAACTATGACATCATGTTGGGCGTTAACCAGGGGGAGGGATTCCGCTTTGTAGAGGGCGTGGTGGAACCAGAAGAGGGCGGAGTTTCTGGCTCGGATTTTGACTTCACGGTATCCGATTTTGTAGACGGTCTCTACGGTTATCCAGAAGGGAAGGACACTCTCAGAGAAACCATAAAGTTCATGTACACAGACTGGGCTGATCGAGACAATCCCGAAACCCGTCGTAAAACCCTCGTGGCCATGTTTACGGATCACCAGTGGGTGGAGCCAGCTGTGGTGACGGCTGACCTGCATGCACGTTACGGTTCTCCGACCTTCTTCTATGCATTCTACCATCACTGCCAGAGCCCCATGAAGCCTCCATGGGCGGATGCCGCACACGGCGATGAGCTGCCCTATGTGTTTGGCATTCCACTTATTGGTCCGACGGAACTCTTCCCCTGCAACTTCTCCCGCAATGATATCATGCTGAGTGCCGTCGTCATGACCTACTGGACCAACTTTGCAAAGACCGGGTAAATTAGAACACCCTCTATAAACGGCACTAGCGATAAATTTTTGCAAAACAATATGCAAAATAGCAAAACAAAGCAAAACATTATGAGTGGACTAAAATATTATTTATTCATGACACTCTATTATCAGTTTTGCAATGCCATAATTAATTATGGCATTTAATGGCATAATAATGCATTTTGTCTTAATACAAGTAGCTCCCATCCTACCCAGCCTCCAGATAATGATAAAACAGGTGTGACTGGTAAATTAGTGAACAGTCACTGTGACCTTGAAGTCGGTCACAGGAAGCATAGCAAAAATTGTGGGAGGAGCAGGGATGTAAGTAAATTTCAATGTAAATCAGGGCATCAACATTTAACTCAATGAAACAGTGCCCTCTGGTGGCAATAAAGAGGTATTATAAACAGTGCACCTGTAGATTAAACACATACATGCAAATACATTAGCTCACAAAAGGGATAGTTTTCACATTGATGTTCACATTTTGTATGTGTTCATAAATCTTTTATATGTTTGGTGGGACTGTTCAAAAATAAGTCTCTTAGGATTTATTTGATCAAAAAATACAGTAAAAACTAATATTGTGAAATATTATTACATTTTTTAAAACTGTTTTCTATTGTAATGTTTTAAAATGTAATTTATTCCTGTGAATTTTGATTTTTCATCTGCCATTATTCCAATTTTCCAATCATTCTGATATGTAGATTTGGTGCTCAAGAAACATTTCTTATTATTACAGTTGTGGTGCTTGATATTTCTGAGGAAATCATGATACATTTTTCCAGGATACTTTGATTAATAAAAATGTCAACAGAACAGCATTTACTTGAATTATAAATCTTCTTTAATATTATAAATGTCTTTACTGTCACTTTTGTTCAATTTAATGCATCCTTGCTGATTAATATACACATTTATTTATTTTAAAAAATCTTACTGAGCCTTTTGAACAGTAGTGTACATTTTTCAAAAAGTTTGAAAATTATTTCTAAGTTTGCTTTTACAGTTTGATACACTTTCATCAGCTTAAATGTTAATTTTGCTGACTAAATTAAATGCAATTTCAGTCAAAGCCAGAAGGAATACAAAGAATTAATATGGCATGAGGGAATATAAATTAATTTTCAAATTTAGAAAATAGTTCAGATGTAATTAATTAACTCTTTCTTTTTTCTTTTCTTTTTTTTTGCGTGTGTGTGTATCTGAATGTTTTTTTAGGGATCCGAACAAGCCAGTTCCTCAGGACACTAAGTTCATCCACACCAAGGCAAACCGTTTTGAAGAAGTGACATGGGCCAAGTACAGTCCTCATGATCAGCTATATCTGCATATTGGGCTGAAGCCTCGCGTTCGGGATCATTATCGAGCTACTAAAGTGGCCTTCTGGAAACATCTGGTACCTCACCTGTACAACCTGCATGACATGTTCCACTACACATCCACCACCACACGGGTCCCACCTCTTCTGACCACACACAGTTCCCACAGTGCCACACCTCGCCCGGGGGGCAACAAGGCTCGTACCCCTGGTAAACAGACCCCCCAGTCCACAGCACGCAGTGGGCCGCTGGTCATCGCAAACCCACGCGATTACTCCACAGAGCTGAGCGTCACGATCGCTGTCGGAGCTTCGCTTCTCTTTCTCAACGTCCTGGCCTTCGCTGCGCTATACTACCGCAAGGACAAACGGAGCCGTCAGGACATGCCCCCTCAGCCCGCCTCCCAGCGCCAGACCCCGCCCAATGACCTCAGCTACACGCCCACCTCCATCTCAGGGGGTAACCTGGAGGAGGGGTCCCTGTGCGACCCTCTCCGTCTGACCCCAGCATCATCTCCGCGGGATTATGCCCTCACGCTCCGCCGCTCGCCGGATGACATCCCGCTCATGACCCCCAGTTCTGTCGCAATGACACCGAATAGCGGCACGATGACACCCAACACGGTCACCTTGACGCCCAATAGTGTTACAATGACACCCAACACCATTACCATGTCGCCCAATTCTTTGATGGGGTATCCCAGCATGCACCCTTACAACACTTTCACTCACGGGTACAACTCCACCAGCCTGCCTCACCCACACTCCACAACACGCGTATAACATGCAACAGAAACTCCACACGCCGACACACAACACTCACATCCCTCGAATCCTTATTACTGTAAACCAGATCAAACCGGTGCAAACTGTTCACCAGTATTCAAAAGTATAATAGCAGGTGAACCCAATACATAACATGAGCACAATCACCTAGAATGAATCAGTATGGCCATCAGTATAAACCAGAAGGAAGTGTCACGGCAGCACGCTAACATAAACAGTTCGGCTCAGTATGAACGCACTGCTTCATACGCGTCTGACTTTTGTCAGCTTTCACGTTATATGAGCAGTTAAGAAACTTCTCTGTGGAGTAAGATGGGAAAATGGAGCAGTTGTAGTACCGCTGCCGCCTCTAGGTGGTGCAGCAAGACTCTTAAAGACCCCGCAGGTGGTCTAATCCGCAAGAACAGTAGGGGGAGCTGGAGTCCCATCGGTGGTTCACCATTACGAACCAACCAAGCACTTATTCTAAGATATGTAATAATAATAACCTGTAATAACAAACATATTAATGGCTATTGTACAGTATAACATATATTAACGTCAATGTACAGACAGCTTTTTTGAATGTGTCAGAATTTTTTTTATTTCTAATAGTTTTTAAGCTCAGATTATATCCATAGCAAGGACGGTCATTTTTTTCTTTCTTTATAATCACAAAAAAAGTACTATTTTATACCACATCTCTCTCTTTATTTCTTTCTTCCCCCTTTTCTCTCTGTGAACGGGTGCATTTTACTTTTGGTATAATCTATTCATTTAGTTGACGGATCACACGGAGTATTTTAAAGAGCAGAATGCGTGCGGCGATTCTTCATGAGCGCGAGAGAGCGGATGTGTACAATTTTCAAGTTAAGCATCTTTAAATAATTTGTGTCTTGCTAAATGTTATCATTTGGTGAAAATGCTTTTCGATCATTTTAAATCTGTATTGTATCTGAGTTTGTTCGATATGTTTTGTGAAGATGTTCGAACTCAATTTGAAAGCATTGCGTTTCTTTTACTGTATTTATCAGTGATATGACGTCACTCGTGCAGTACTATGACATCACTCATGCAGTGCTATGACATCACTCATGCTGTTATAGGACATACAGGCTTTGCTGAGAATTTACGATGTTAATCTTTTCTATAAAACATGAATGTGGTGATTTGTACTGAACACAGGGCTTCTCTGATGAAGGTCGTTCTATAATATAATGTTTATTATGGAGCTGCACAGAGTTTGCACAGGGGATACGGTCGTGTAATCATGGTGTCATATCCTGCCAGATGGTTAGATTCTCCATGTTACCCATGCTAACCACCCCTGCCATGATTTTTGTGCCAAATTTGCGATACAGTTTCCTTGGTAACCAGCAGAAAGTTTGTCTGTTAACGTGTTTGTGTGAAAGTTCAACCGCTTTATAAATAGAATTTAAAGTATTTACAACTATTTGAGTTCATCTGGACTTTGAAGAGGAAACAGGATGGCAGATGAATGCATGGAGTCGGAAAGCAGAAGCGTGTCTCAGCTGGACGAGGGTGACCTGTGTGCTCAGCTCTGTCAGTTCAACGGCTTGCAGAAGTCTGTTCTTTTATACTCTGTACATTTCTGCCTCAAATTTGCAGTAAATATTGAGTTTGCCTAAAATCCCTGCTTCTCGTTTATCAAGATTGATTTGGAGTCTGCAGACTGAAGTTTTTGACTTGAGAAACGCGTTGCATTTAACCTTAAAAATGGCAAGGCCATAAAGAGACATCATAATACAACTTGATCATTTTTTTCAAAACATGACTTTTAGTTTTGATTTTAATGTTTGTATCCCACAGGATATGATGCCAGTTTGGGGGTATAAATTAACTGAAAACAGAACACTTGTTTATCAATGCAGACCTAATATAGACCTAAGGTTGGTCTCATTTTAAAGAAGACACATTGCAGATTATTGCTGAAGTGAAAGCATTTCAATAAAAGAAAGTATAAAAAAGTTATAGAAGTTTAAGTTTGCAGTAAAAAATAATACAGTATAGTTTTTTTTTTTTTAATTGTATATAAAATAAATACTTTATAAAATATGTTGCACTTCAAATTGCTGTAAAATCTAAGCCATATGTCTAACCAAGTTATGTTCCAAATTTGAAGTTGATATCACCAAAATTGTGGTTCCTGTGAGATTTTGTTTGGGCACTATACCAAAAATAACACTGGGTGACACCCAAACTCTACTGAATTCTTTTGATGCATTTTTCTGTCACAAATCAATCATTTTCTATCACAATATCACTTCTATTACAAAAAAAAAAACAGTCACCAAATATGGAACCTTGACTGTCAGACCTTTCCAACGATATGTGTTTTGTCAAGATTACAAAAAGATTTTATTTTCTAAAACACAAGCCACAAAATCACAGAGTATATTTAGGCCCTATATGTTTTTATATCTTGATTTATACCCCTAAAAGGGCGACGTATCCCCTGAGATACAAACATTTAGAGACAGATTACCAAAAAATTAAGCATTTAATTCATACATTTCAATGTAAACCTAATACACTAATGCTGAATAACAGCTTTTTAAACAGGTAAGTCCCCTCCAACATGTTGTAAATATGTGAACTAGATCAACTTTTATCAGAGGGTGAGTAGATTTCCCACTACTGGCGGCCATGCAGTTTTAAATGCTGCCCGTGAGCTAAACAAAGCATGTATGAGCAAAGTCAATATATCTAAATATTCACAACAAGCACCCTTTCAACATGAAATCAAGAAATGAGACCTACACTTTCCCTGCCTCTGCCCACAGCCTCTCAAATGTTTGTATCCCACAGGATACGTTGCCAGTTTTAGGGTTAAGCTGTTTACAGCGCATTCAAGGTACATTGTGTCAGTTTGTGTGTTTCCTGGCAGCTGAACTTGAGAAAATCTTAGAGCTACAAAACAAATTTACATAGGTCTATAACTAAATATTTGTATGGGGATATTTCACACAAAATTAAAAATCTATTAGCTTATCATCGTACCCTTGTTTTTTTTCTTCCATGCAACTGTGTCCTATTCCAAGTCCATGCAAAAATGATTTTCTTAGTATTTTTGTCTTGTTTTTCAGTGATAAACAATATCTAAACATTCTTAAATCAATATATTTAAGAAGCAAAATGGTATAAGAAAAATATCAAAATTAAACGACTTTATGCTTAAAACAACAAATATCCAGTGGGATAAGAAAAATAGAACTTGTTTATTTGGAAAACAAGACTTAATATCTACGTAAGTTTGCTTCTCAAGTATGTGTATCACGATTTAAGAATGTTTAGATATTTATATTGGAAAATAAGACAAAAATACTAAGATTTTTGTATTATTTATATTTTTTCTTTTTTATGGAGCACACAAAATTATTTAGATTTATTTCAAACCACACATTAGCACTATTGTGTTCATCACTGTAATAGTATTGTGTACGTGTAAGAGAGTGAGAGAATTTGTGTGTATTGTGTGTGTGTTACAGAAAGAGTGAATTGTCTGTGTGTTCCTATTTCTGACACAACTGTAGTATTGTATTGAATGTCCCAATCTGACTCTAAAGGTCACAGCTCATTCACTGTGCTTCAAAGTCTGTGTGTGTGTGTATGTATGTGTGTGTACTTGAACTACTATCTTTGTGAGAGCCAGTTTGAGGTTTAGCCATTGGAGTGAGGACCAAGAGGGTCCTTACTTTCTAGCACTCCTTTAAAGGGCTGTTTGTGGGTTAAGACTTGGTTTTAGGGTCAAGGTTATAATGAAGTTAACGCTAGGGTTAGGGTTAGGCAATGAATGTCTTCACAAAGATAGCTGTACAAGAATGAATGTTTGTGTGTGTGTGTGTGTGTGTGTGTGTCAACTTAATCATGAATTGGGGACAATTTTGTACCCAGAAGTGAGCAACAGTGAATCAAATCTCATTTGTAAAAATGCTATTAAAATAAAAACTTTTTCATTCTAAAAATGCAGAATGTTTTGTTAGACTTGTATTATTTATAATATTTATAAATACTACAAGTCTAACAGCTGTAGCATTTGTAACATGCTGTATGCAGAAACACTATTTGAAGTCAATGGAATGTCCCCATTTATATAGCTAAGTAAAAGTGTATTTATAGGAATGTTAATACAGAAAAACTCAGCCCAGAAGTAAGTGCTTGTGCACAAACATTTTGACCAGTGTGCTCATCTTTATAATGCATGTGCATGTGAACATTTAGGGTTCATTGCACTGAAACAAACACAAACACTCGTACTCTTTATTTATCATGGCAGTGAAAGAGGGGCGCTGCATCTTTAAGATCTGCCCCTGTGTGTGTGTGAGTTTGTGAGAGAGAGCAGAGGGGCTTGTTTATTGTTCCAGGGACAAAAGCGTGAGTGAGAATCATAAAAGCATCGAGGGAGATTAAACTACACGGCACATCACAGAGACAGAGCGTGATACGCACACACATACTCACATGGGTAAGTCTACCTGAACTCACCTAACCCCATTTTAACCACTAAGAATATTTATGGGAATTTTAATTGATTGGTGTGTCTTTGATTTGCATGTGATATAAGTTGTTTAGACAAATGTATACAAGCATTTTAATGATTCTTTTTTGTATGATGTGTGTAAGATGCCATCTGGTTGGTCAGAAGCTTAAAGGCATCACTTCTGCATTTGTGATGGAGATGCATTTAATGGATCCTTCTTAATTAAAAGGTTGTTTTGATTGATTAACCAGCTGGCTCCGGTTTTGATTGGCTAAGACAGTTGCTACGACGCCTCAGAGGTGTGGATGAGAAGACCAGTAACCCCAGGAGACTCCAGGAGGTCACATCAGGTCTTTAGGTCAAATATTCTCTTCTATGATGGGGACTCTTGTACAGCCCAGTGCCAGTTTGAACTGGGAAAATATTTGATGTAGTTGCATTAAGGATTCATATGTATGTATGCATTGAATTGTTTTGTAGGTTTCTCCTTTTTTGGATAACAACTTAATAGCTCTATGCAGAATCACATCTTCTGTTTGAACTGTAACAGCAAATTTTCTATTTTCTGCTCGAAACAAGGGATAGTTCAATCAAAATTGAAAAAATCTGATGTCATTTTTACACTCTCATGTTGTTTCAAACCTGTATGCATTTCTTTTTTTTCTGAAAAACACAAAGAAAAACTGGTGTCCAAACAACATTGGACCACACTGAATTTCATTATACAAAAAAAAAACAGAAACATTTTTCAAAGTATCCACCAAAGAAAGAAGGTCATACAGATTTGGAACAACATGAGGGTGGGTAAATGATGACAACATGTTAATTTTTGAGTGAACTATCCCTTTAATTAAGTACTTGAAGAGTTTATTTGAAGTGTTTTGGAGAATGGATGGATGGATGGACCCAAAAGCATTTCCACATTCTCAAACAGAAGGTGTGATGAAAGTGTGTTTTATAGTAATCAGATTATTGTGAGTGACAGGCTTGTTGAGAAGAAAACTGTTTAAAAAGAGTGTAAGACTGGTTGACCTGCCACGATCCCAATTGTAACCCTGGTGGTGTCAGTATGTGTCTGTCTGTGCCGCTATGAGTGGAAACGCAATGACGTACTCCGCTGCTGAGGCCTGTGAGTGTGTGTGTGTGTGTGTGTGTGTGTGTGTGCATCAGATACATTTACTCACAAAGCTCATTGAGTATA